GGCAGGGACTAGGACAGTGGGTGGTTGATGGATGAGCTGGGTTCTTTTAGGCCAAAGCTCACCTGTGTGACCTGTAGAGGTTGTGGGTGTTAACGAGTTTGGTGGGCCAGCCTAGTAGAAGAATGACTTTGCTTTTAGTACCTTAGCAGAGAACAAGTTCCCTTACTGCCCTCCAGTTTGCAACAAATCTTCAAATCTGAGAGATCAGGACTTTCATGATCACATTAGTTTCTGTCTCTTTCACTTCTCTATTTAATAACAGGTTTAACAAAGTGCCATAACCAAGCTTCCCACTTAGCTTGTTCCTTGTTAGGGTCCTTGCCTTCCTAAGTGACTACCTCATTATATAGTCTGTGAATGTGTACGTATGTGTATGTATGTGTTTTAAATAAGTAAATGATCTCACTATGTTTAGAGAGCTGAGCAGAATTCTAAAAACAGTTCCTAAATATCTTGGAATGAAAAAGCATCTCCAGTATTTCTGAAATTGCTTTAATCACCTCAGGACTTCCCCAAGATTTGATCTTGATTCATAATGAAAGCAGTTTGATGGCTCAGCGCCTGTGGCTCAAGTGGCTAAGGCGCCAGCCACATACACCTAAGGTGGCGGGTTTGAATCCATCCTGGGCCAGCCAAACAACAATGACGGCTGCAACCAAAAAATGACCAGGTGTTGTGGCAGGCACCTGTGGTCCCAGCTACTTGCGAGTCTGAGGCAAGAGACTCGCTTGAGCCCAGGAGTTGGAGGTTGCTGTGAGCTTTGATGCCACGGCACTCTACCCAGGGGGACAGCTTGAGGCTCTGTCTCAATAAATAAATAAATAAAAGAAAGCAGCTTGATAATGTCAACAATGTTGGAGCAGCAGAATTATGAGAAAGTATTTCTTTAATTTTGTTATTGTAATGTTTGTGTTATTAAAAAGTTTAAAGATACCATAAGTAGGTGTTTATTTTCTAAAATATACAATAAAGCAGTTAAGAAATCAATGTATATGTTTTACATTTTTAGCCAGAAGTTAAAAGAGAAGAAATTATTGGCAAAGAAGATCAAAGTTGAGCAGAAACAAAAAGAAGGTGAGCAGTGCCCACTTTTCTTTGCTGTAGGCTTTCTCTCAGTGTTGGTCACAGTGGCTGAACTGTCAGGATATACTGAGATTTAGAGTTTAGAGTTAGTTGGCTGGCTACTGAAGAAATAACAGCTTATTTGTGTTAGAACTTTTTTAATTGCAAGTGTCAGAAAGCCAAACTGGCTTAAGCAAAAAAGAATGATAGAGGCTGGGCATGGTGGCTCATGCCTCTTATCCCAGCAAGGGAGGGCAGGATGGTGACCTGAGCCAGAAATTTAAGGCTGTAGTGAGCTATGATCTGGCCACAGCATTCCAGCCTAGAAACAGAGCAAGATCCTGTCTCTTTAAAAAAAAAAAAGAGAATGGAAGGAAGAAAAGGAAGGGAAAAGAAAGGAAGATTGATGGATGGATAGATAGATAGAGGCAGGCTCATGTTAGGTCTGAGACAGACCTCCCTTCAGGCATAGCCAGGAAGGAGGCTTAGTAACTTTAGTTATAGATGACTCTCCCTCTGTCCCTGGCCTCATGTTGCATGCAGGCTCATGCCCCCTTAGGGTTTTGAGGTACCTATAGCAGCTCTCAGGGCCTGGATGCTGCTTCAGTCTTGTCTAGGAAGAAAGATTAAGAGGCTGTCCCAGCAGGAAGAAAGTGGGGAGCAACCACTGGATTGGTCTTAGCAATCAGCTGAAGACCAGAGATTACCTTAAATGCCTTGAACTAGTAAGCCTCTCAGTCTTTGTCAAGGGGTTGTGTGTGTGTGTTGGAGCACACCATGGCTAGCAGTTGACAGTTGGCCTCAGCCTTCACTTCCTGCTTGCACAAAGCCTCATGGGCAACAGGGTGAGAGAGCTGGGCCTTTGCAGGTTTTTCTTGGGCTCCTGCACTGCTGTGCACATGCATGTGGCCTTCTAAAGACCCAGGTTTTCCTCTTGCGATTTTTGGTCAGTTTATTGTTTATTCCAGCTGTTATTGCTGCCTCTGGAGCAACAGTGTTAAACAGTTGTCACTGATTGGTTTTGACAAGCACCCTGGGGAAAAAGCTGTTTAAGCTGAGCAGCTCTGAGCCAGGTCAATTAAACGTAAACCTTGTGGGTACAAGTTTCCAGGGAGCTGCCAAACAGGTCAGATACAGACATTGCTCTGGGGAACTATTGAGGAGCTCCCAGCTTGCTCTGCTTCCTCCAGCGGTTGCTAGTTTCTATAGCTACTGTGGTTGTGGGGCTCTTGGTTTTCAGGACTGCCTTAGGAGGTCCCTGTCCTTATTGAGATTTAGGTGTTTTTCTCAAATAATCCAAGGAGTATTTCCAGAGTTCTAAAAAAATTGATTTTTTAAATTTTATTAGTGTTGTTTTTATGGAGGAGTAGCAGATTGATTGATTTTTGAGACGAGTCTCTCTGTCTGTTGCCCAAGCTAGAGTGCTGTGGTATCAGCCCAGCTCACAGCCACCTCAAACTGCTGGGCTCAAGCAATCCTTCTGCCTCAGCCACCCAAGTAGATGGGAGTACAGGTGCTCACCACAATAACCAGCTAGTCTTTTTTTATTTTTAGTAGAGATGGGGGTCTCACTCTTGCTCAGGCTGGTCTTGAACTCCTCACCTCAAGTGATCCTCCCTCCTAGGCTTCCCAGAGTACTAGAATTTACAGGTTTGAGCCACTGCACTCAGCCATCCCTTCAGATCTTTAGCTTTACCTATACCATTACATTTGAAGTGTGTTCCAGCTTCTGTAACTGGAACCCTCTAATTGGTTTTTGAGTCCAAATAGAAGACTTTACATTTAGCTCCTTTGCATCTCATCTTTGTCTTATTGGTTCTGTCAATTCAGATTTTCAGAATCCTTTTGAATTCTGATCCTGGAGTCCAGAATGTTACCATATTTTTCCTGTTGTCAAGGGAAGTTGATCAACATACTTCCTTTGTTGTTAGTAAAAATGTTGAGCCAGATTGGGCCGAGAACAGAGCCCTCTGGCAGCCTCTGGCTGGTGTTGACCTGTTCACCAAAATGCTGTGGGCAGAGTGGTTCTCCAGCTAAAGTCAGCCAAACTCATTATTTCCTTCATCATACCCACGGGGGTGTCAAAGGAGATGGAAGAGATTATTTGAGGTCAACAAATAAGTACAAGACCTGTGTTCTAGGCTCAGCTCTCATTCTTGCTCACTTGGTGACCTCAGACTTCTGGCTTCTTCTGATTGGATTTATTTTTAGAGACAGAGTCTCGCTTTATTGCCCACAGTAGAGTGCTGTAGTGTCACAGCTCACAGCAACCTCGAACTCTTGGGCTTAGGTGATTTCTCTTGCCTCAGCCTTCCAAGTAGCTGGGACTTATAGGCTCCTGCCACAACGCCCAACTGGTTTTTGTTGCAGTTGTCATTGTTGTTTAGCTGGTCCGGGCCAAGTTTGAATCTGCCACCCTCAGTGTATATGGCTGGCACCATAACCACTGTGCTATGGATACTGAGCCATGAATATTAACTTTTTAATAGTGAGCTCTATACATAACAAAATTTACCATCTTCACCATTTTTTATTTATTCATTTATTTATTTGTAGAGAGAGTCTCACTTTATTGCCCATGGTAGAGTGTCTTGGCATCACAGCTCATAGCAACCTCCAACTCCTGGGCTTAGGTGATTCTCTTGCCTCAGCCTCCGGAGTAGCTGGGACTATAGG